AAAAAAAAAAAAAAAAAACTTGTTTCCATTCCAATCCGAAGTACCAGCTTCGGGTTGCCACGGACCCGCATGCGGTCACGTTACACGTGGTAAGCATACAGGCACACCTCATGCGGAGTTTTCGCTTGCCTTCTGAGGACTTTCCCATTAGCTTGCTTGCCGCATTGCGGGACCGATGCCTCATGTGGAGACCCAGTTTAGCTTGCTGCATTCAACCGCCCTCCACGACACTCCACACTTCTCTCCAACACGTCGGCATCACCAACATAATCATCATCACCACCATAATCATCACCATCATTTCGTGGGCATGCTTGGGTGAAAATGTGCTGGTTGCTCGCATTGAAGATCACAGCATTTGATGATCACCTCGTGAAAAGGATTTCTATTCTGTGTCCTACTCTTTCGCCTTTCTTCGCCTCGCCGTTTTTCTTGCATGTTTCCCTGATAGGCTGTTGAAGCATTGAAGCAACTTCAGACGGAGGGGAATGCTTTGGGTATCCATCAATTTTCTCGAAGGCATCGAGACCCCCACAAATGCTGGACAACGCAAACGGCAGACAAAGAAACACAACAAGAACAAAACAAGAAAAACGCAAGAATATGCTAGTCATGCACATAATCTCATGGAAATCGTCTTTCAAATGCCGAACTTTCAAGCATTGCACAAGTATCCACAGCACACAATAAGCAACCCGGTCTGCTCATGCTCCTGCAATTACTCTTGCCATGCCATGTCCGAAAAGCAAACTTACCCGCAAACTTGTTGTTGTCATGGCTCTTTCTTCGCAATCCTCGTTCCTATGCGTCTGCTCCTGCTGTACAAGGCCGAAGACCAGCATGGTGTGGGCACCAAGGCGGAGCATGCCAGCGTAATATCTTCTCTTTGGGGGAAATGTTTGGGGCTCCAGCTGCCATGCACCCTTTGAGCTGCGTGCAAATCAAGCAGCCAGTTCAAAGAGCGAAACCAAAGCAAGTGAGATGTAGACCAATCCAGGGATCTCACTGCAGCTGTATAGGGAGTGCTGGTAGGCCAGTTCCACAGGAGATTGACAACTTGCTGACTGTTCTCTCATGCAGAAGGAACCTCGTGGGCCTCAACACATCCGGCGTGTTGCTCTTCTAATTTAAATTGATGCCAGGTGAGTTATTTTTTTGGTGGTTAAACCCAGTAAGATAATATTCCTTATATAAAATACCATACCCCAAAAGGAGGATATGATCTTACTCTATATTGGGTACCATAGTATCCCCAACAAAATGCTACTCAGGTATGTTCTACTGCTCATGAAATCAGCTATTTCTGCCTTGCTGTGCACACAGGGCATCTGCTGCCATGCCACCTGCACAAAATGCGCAGATCAAGCAGCCAGTTACATGCGCGAAGCCAAAGCAACAGTGAGATGTAGACCAATCCAGGGATCTCACTGCAGCTGTACAAGGCTTGCTGGGAGGCTAGTTTGACAGGTTGCAAATCATTCAGTGCTGCACTTGAGCCCTTTTCAACTGGGAAACGCTCTAAGGCTACGCCAACATACGGGAACTACATATCGAAAACGACGTCACACCAAAATGGTCTGGCTGGAAGTGTAGGAATTATAGGACGTCTGGGATGAGTTCCCGGAAGACTTTGCCTCCGCTTTTGGGTCCATACAACATGATGAGATGAATGAAGACAAGACGTGAACTAAGAATGGCTTGAAGGAATCATATCTTGAGTTCCCTTGACATTCACGATGTCTTGTGCAGGAAGCTCCCTATGACTAGGTCATGGTGTATGAGACATTTCAAGCCTCACCGTACAAGAGTCTGCGGTTCCCTTGTTTCAAATACGAGCCTAATTTCCCATGAAGTGTGGTGTGGCTGTGGAGAAGTAAGCACCAAGATGGTACCCAAGTGCATGCACCACCAGGAAGTGAGCTAGCTCCTCCTCGTATAAGTCATAGCCTAAACTCCTCGTATCCCCCGTAATAAGCCCTATACTAATCCCCTGCATAAGCCTACATAATCACCCCTTACCCAATTTAGACTTTAGGTCTGGTATGGAAAGGATAGACAGATCACACGGCAGGCCAATGGTGAGGAGGAGAGGAGGCTGCCAGGAAGACGCAGGCATGCGCACTGACACTCCAAGCCGAACGCGATGCTCCCTTCTGAGGCTTCTGTAGGGATAGCCCTAAACCCTGAACCCTAAACCCTAAACCCTATAGTTTTGAGAAACTCCCAAGGTAGTTTGTTTGCAACATGGAAAGTATCTCCCAGGACACAGCCACTGAGCCCTATGATTCGTTCTATGAGTAGTGGATTGTTTTGTGGATCATCTTGTCGCTAAGACAAAATACATGTGGCATGCCTTCTTCTCAGAGTTGTCCCTCTCGCGCCCTCTTTGCCAGGGCCCGTTCCCTGACTAGCTCACGGATCACTCGGAAGCTCATGTAAACGCCTCAGCCGCATCATTAACGACAACCCTCATGACAGTCCCAACAGCAGAAATGACAATAATCAAGGTAGCAATAGCAGCAATAGCAACAATCGTGAAAAAGTCATAAACAAACCAAATACAGTACCATCAATATACCAGCCAAAGTCACACGATCCCTACATAATCGCTTTAAAAGATGCTGTTGTCCATTCCACCTGTGACGCATCTGGACCCTGTCCACCACACGCTCGTACCATGCATGCCACCTTGAAACTTGCAACCCGAACACTGCTTCGTGCCCATTGTGACTATTCTGCCATTATTATGGACACGGATATTACTAGCGCGATGGCCATGTTTGCAGGCGAGTTGCTGGCGGTTGCTACAACGATCAATATTGATATGATGATGCACCGCTGTGTCATGATGGAATGCCCCCAGTGGGACTCATTTGCCAACCTCAGCTCCACGCATGCCGTCCGCCCCACGTAATGATGAAGCTACTGACGCTGATGATTATTGCACTGAAAGAGGACCATGACACGTGTTAACTTGGTATCTTGTGAGCTCACGTGTGGTTTCACATACCTTCGCAGGTATGTTGAGAAGCATGCACGCGCTGCAAGACCCTTTCTTGGCACAAGGGTTAATCAGATCCTTATGCGGGACCCGGCGTAGCCTGCCAGACGGCAAACAGCAGGCGGCATGCGGGTGGCCGGTCAGGCGGGCGGCAGAGGGTGGTCCAAAGACAATAGAAACTACCACCGCAATATGGGGAATACAATCGATAAGAATGACAATGCTGGCAGCAGTGCAAAGAATGATAGTGATGGTGATACGTGAAGATAAAGGAAGAAAAAGAAGACTAGGCGTAGCTGCTGGCAACCAGAAACATGTTTGATGTCAAGTCTTTCAATACCGCAGTAAGAACTTCATAATTCATAATGGCTGCCAGGGAGCAAGCCGGATATCATTGTAATCATGTACGCCGCGGCTGCCAGCAAGGCACTCTCTGTCCTCTGTGCGCAGCCAGGAGTCAGACGAAGAAACGATGAATGACGAGCTCAGGTGAGCTATAGTCTAGACTCCTAGTATCCCCTTTAATCAACCCCTACTACTCCACTACATAATCCCCTATATAACCCCCTTGAAGGAGTTTAGATTATAGCTCAAGTCACTAATGTTCTCTCTTGCTGGCCACACGCGTAGGACCTTGAAGAGGAACCTAATCTCACTGCACACTTAAGACAATCTGTTCTCCTTCTCACTTGCAGCCTAGATCAAATTCCGTATAGGCCTCAGGTAGATTAACCCTAAATTTTGGTTTGGGTTTAGGGTTTGTGTGTTTCCAAAGTGGTGGACGTTTGTGTGTTCCCAAAATGGTGGACATCCATAATGAAATGGAGACCCAAAGGTAGGGCCAAGGGGACCCAGACGCATCTCTAGGCCTAGGCTCTGCAGTTGGCTTTGGCCGTATTTTAGATTCTAATTGTATTGGGGGTATATCGGAGTAATATAGGGGTCATATTGGGGTAATATAAGGAAAGTATCTCGGGGTAATATAGGGGTCATATTGGGGTAATATAAGGGATATATTGGGGTAATATAAGGGTCATACTGGGGTAATATTGGGGGTATATTGGGGTAACATAAGGGTTATATTGGGTTATATAGGGATAGTGGAAAAGAAAATGGAGATTACTGTCTGCTCATACTTCGCGATCCCCATTGCGCCTATGTGGGAAGGACGAAAATATTCGTTATCTGAGTTTCGGCGCTTTCTCTTGCAATGTGCACGAGCCCTGTTTGGACTCCTGATTTTGACTTCGCCCAAACCCCTATGAAACCGCATATGACGGCTACGGATGCGCTCCTGTTCCAATCAGGTCTGTGATACGGTTGGCAGCGCTCGTACAGAAGGAGGGACGTCAGGACCACCACTCCGAGGCAGCCTTTTTAGCGTTAAAAATGCATGTTACAGCCTGCATTTGTATGCCAAAACCCTCTAAAGCTTAAATCCCGAACCCCACACCTGAACCGCAAACTCTAAACCCCAGACTCTACCCCCCAAACCGCAAGCCTTCAACCATTTACTAACCCTTCAACCTAAACCTTACAAAGCGGTACTTGAAACCCTCGAGGCCACCCATCTGAAGGGCCGGCGATGCGGTGATCGGCAGCGCGGCGGCAATTAGCATCAGCAACGATTTCCTGCAATTTATGACTATGTTGGGGTTCAACATCGATGCAAGAAGCTGTCTTGATTTCCTGCAACTTTTGACTCTATTGAGGCGTAATATGAACTATATGAGGATTATATCAGCATATGTCGGAATGGAGCATGAAATGGAAAAGCAAATGGAATCCGCTTATGAAGACTGTTTGACACCGGCGGACTTTTGATGCCTGCACGCTGCACTAGCCTCTGTGTGCTTTTGCTCTGTAGGCTTTGGAATTGCGTTTTATAGGATTTAGGGCTTGTTTCCTTGCGGTTAGCAGCAAAGGGAGGAATGGCAGAGAAAACCTCAATACTACTCCATACTACGGCTCTGACATCAGCGTTTGAATCAATCTCGAGCACGAACCTCGTCACGTGTATAGCCCTGAACCCTAAAGGCAGAAAGACTACAGAAAAGCAGCAAAGATGAAGAAGGCAAACCATGCATAGTCCTGACCAATCGCTCAGCTTCGAACAAAGCATAGAGCGGCTGGTACTTGCTTGTCAAGAAATTGACGTGCGGTGGCAGCGGATCCTGGCATCGAAAGGGTCTGACTCGTAGCGATATAAAGATATCGAGACATGTAGTGATGTATCAATATAATAATAAGGTATGTAGTAATACTCCTAGCATCCTTCTTAATAGCCTCGACAATACTCCCTTATATCATCCCCTATATCCACCCTCAAGAAGTTCAGACTATAGCTAATGCAGCAATTAATGTAGTAATTCTGGTTTGTAGTAATATGGTAGCATGCATACAGCGCTCGATGATTCCACGCCCCGCCTCCTTGGAGAGGGATAGGCTGACCCATGCATACAAGGCCACGCTGAATGACAATACCAGGCCAAGCAAGACCTGGCACACGGTTAGACTTCAGGGCTTCGGGTTTAGATTTTAGGATTTAGGGTTTAGACTTGAGGGTTTAGGTTTAGATTTGAGGGTTTGGGGGGAACTCTAAGACGTCACCATCATGGTCTCTGCAAGCAGCTGCTCATATCTTGCTCTCTTCCAGTTACCTCGTAACACCCCTGACTTACTGGGTGGTAGTGGGGAATCAGGGAATTTGATATGGGGATTATATAGGGATTGTATTCCCTCATTCCCTACGAACCCCCAGTAAAATGATGAACTCATGGTGGTCCATCTTGCCATGACTCCGCGATGTTTTAGAATCCCTAAACCCTAAACCCTAAAACCTAAACCCTAACCCCTAAAACCTAAACCCTAAAGCCTAGAAAAATACTCTTGGCGCTCGGCCTGCGTCATGCCTAATGGCCTGGAGCTGCCTGGCAGGAAGGGGCACTGGAGGCCCCGCATGCCTTCGCCAAGATCTCGCTCCAACCTGTAACCTGAAGTTGCTTAGGCTTTAGGGGTTTTGGGTTTAGGGCTTCGGGTTTTAGGGTTTAGGGTTTTAGGGTGTAGGGTTTAGGGCTTAGGGTTGAGGGCTTAGTTTCACTTTGTGGTTGTTTAGGGGATACTGTGGGGATTATGTATTTCCATAATATAGGGATAACGGAAATGAAAAATGCAACTACAATTTAGGGTTTAGGGTTACTACCCCAATAATTTATGGAGAATCAAATTGAAAAGGAAATGGAAAATGAAATGGAGGCTGGGGTTGCTTCAGGAGTTGTATAATTCACGTCTGTTAAGAAGGGAATGAAGGAATGAAGAATGAAAATCCTATGCAGGAGCTATTCTGGGGATTCGGTCCCCCCCCTTCCCTTCCAAAAGTCAGCGCCAGCAATGGGAACATGTTTGCAAAGATTGTCCAACTGGGCCCCTTGCACACCAAGTACTTGCCGAAACCGGCCAAAATGCTCGGCAGGAAGCAGTTCACGCCTGAGCAATCTACCGGAACCGATCTGCATTTACCACACACTCAAATTAAACGCAGTCAAAGGGTGTCTGAACAGTCAGACTGTGGCTCTCAAAATCACCAAAGAGGATTGGGGTTAGTAAGAAATGAAGCATTTTAATATGTGGAGATCATATAGGGATTATATTCCTTAATTCAACGGGGATGAATGAGGATGACTGCTTTGCTCGGCTGCTCCTCCTTGCGGCTCGGCTGCCAGCGACAAGGGCAACTCGGCTATCCTTCAACGCCAAGGTGGACGTCAGCGCTACGGCAACAACCTGAGTTGCTCTGGATGCGTCGCTTCCTTTGCCTTCCTCCTCTTTCTCTCCTTTGCTTCTGCCCGAACAGTAATATTAGTAATTATACAAAAAAATACTAGTAATCATAGCAATCATAGTAATACTAGAAACAATAGTAGTTGCAAATCTAAGGTATCCAAGCGAGGAACCACGTCGAGCACGTGCGCACCCCACAAGGTCTTTTCCAGGCCAACGTAGGACAACAAGCACTGCGAAGAAGCGGCGCCCGCACCTGCACCCGTGCTAAGGTACCCCTGCGATGTAAGGCTCACTCCCCGAGAATTGCCTCATTACGAAAACTATTTTATGACTTCCACTAGTATTGCTGAAGGGTCAACCCCTGTCCAAAGCAGATCCTGCCCATCCCGGACGCCGATATCTTGGGCAAGCCCACAGCTAAAGAGCTGCTCAAAACTATGGAGACCGGATGTTGGCTGATTTTTAAACGAATCGGAAAATGGCCTCCTCCAGAGGCAATCTCTGCCAAAACCATTGTGGTGCCAAAGACGAATGTTACCTGGCTGTGCAGCACTAGCCGACGCTTCAAGACCCCCACTTTTACAGGCACTGCTATGCCGAGTAGAAAAGGGAGGGGCGGCGAGGAGGAAGCAATCAGGAGGGGAGGGGCTGCAGAAGAGAGGAGGGAGTGGGCCGAAGTTGCGAGCCAAGAAGCCGTGGAGCTTTGCCTGCGCTGCTTCCATAGAAATTAGGTTCAGGTGCCTCCAAAAGGGTATGGGGGGGTAACAGTATGCAGAGATACGTAGGGTTTAGGGTCAAGAAACCGCATTGCAGCTACCAGGAGAATCAATGATGGGGTTTGTTTAGGGATGCAAGGAACTCAGCTTAAGTTGCACATTATGAAGGGGCCGTTTGATTCACCACAGATCCATATTAATTACAACAACTTATCGCTCTCCCCAATAGCAGCCAAAGGGTCATTTGATTCACCAATCCACAATTTTATGTACAATATAACTTGTGTGTTAAACTCCCGAATACCATCCCAGTTGCATATCTTTGGCGGTGTTTGTCTGCATGGCGGCTGTCAGCATCATGGTAGATACCGTCGCGAAGGCCATCAACTGATTCAGGAAAACTCCGCTTTGCTTCACCTCATCCGCCTTGGAGAAATCAACAAATGCAAACGCTTTAGGGTTCAGGGTTTAGGGTGTTAAGGGTGTTAAGGGTGTAGACTCTAGGGTTTAGAGGTTAGGGATTGGGGCCGGTGGTTCCCAATAGCCAAGGGGAATTCCGGACAAGCACGCATCAAGAAGATCGCGGGATCATGAAGAATGATGGAAAAGCGATGGGAATTCATGCGGCATGAGAGAACATTAGGGAAATCAAAGAAGATGATGAAAACGATGACAAATTACAAACGCGAAAAACGATGAAACATAATGAGAAATGATCTTGCAATGTTGTGAAAGTTAAAAAGCAATGTCATAAAAAAAATGACGAGACATGATGACATGATGAAATGATGAACATGATGAAAAAGTATAATAGGAAAATGATGAAAATGATGCCGTGTAATGAAGTATGATGACATGTGATGGCAACTTCTGAACAATAATAGATAATGATTAAGTGATCAACCAGTGCTTAAAACCATAAGCAAGATGACAACAACATGAAAACGATAGCACATGTTCACAAAGAATGAAAGATGTTACAATTGGATGGACAAATCTTAAATAATGATGAAATACAGTGAAATATGACGAGAACAATGCTCAGACGTGACGAAAACTGTGATACGATGAAAGTGATGAAATGTACTGAAAGATTACGAAGTATGATGAAAAATGTTGGAAAACCAGTATTGACCATAGAAACTGATGGAAAATGATAACGTGATGGAATAGGATGTTACACATGATGAAAATGATGACAGTTACAAGAACCGATGAAACATGATGAAAGACTGTGAAGGTGATGCAAAATGATGAAATACGGTGAAACATGAAGAAATATGGTTGAAAGAGGAGAGGAAGGATACAACATGATGGAAATTCTTGATGAATGCAAAGAAGATGATGCAACCTAATGACATATATAATGAAAACCATCTTAAAGACTGATAATAGCAGTAGTAATACTAGTGGTAGTACTAGTAGTAGTACTACTACTACTATTGCTACTACTACTACTACTACTAGTAGTAGTAGTAGCAGCAGCAGTAGCAGCAGCAGTAGTAGCAGCAGTAGTAGAAGCAATAGTGCAACTATGGCAATGATAGTATAATAACACCAGTCATAAAGTAAGAGATACAATCGAAAATCTACCACTAACCTTCTGTATGTCTTTCCTTCTTTTGCGTCCTTGCTTTCCTCCTTTTCTTGTTTCGGTTTTCCTGTCTTATTTCCTTTAACCATCATAACTACTATGACTATATGGCTACTGTTTAGGGATACTTGCGGGAAAGACGCACAGCTTCCTAGTTGAATTCGATGGCAGCACACTACAAAGGATATGGCCTTCGCTTGAGCCTCCTCAACTGGCGTGTAAAAGACATGTTCTTGCAGCAGTTTGTCTCCCACCACAGCCTATGTCTGTATGTCGTTCTTTCTTGCGTGCTGTTTCTCTCTTTCTTTCTGTGCCTCTTTATTCCTCTCATTCTTTCTTTCTACGTCTATATATTTTTTTCAGTTCTGTTCCTTCTTTCTTGCTTTCCAGGTTTCCCTAGATGGTTCTTCTCCGCTCTCCTACTTGACATCAGCTCTTCCATCCATCCTTCATAGCCTTCATCTGTGAAAACAAGGCCCCTAGCCCCAGAAAAGAAAAGTACGTTTTAGGGTTTAGGGTTTCTCCACTCCAGATGTTCAGACACCAAACAAGGGCGTGCAGGCTTCGCATCGTCTAGGTATGCAGCATGCAGAAGACAGACCCAAGATGCCTCCAGCAGACGTCAAGAAGCTCCTTGCAACCAAGAAGCCGAGCCGGCTCCCAGGGCACTCATGGCTGAGAGGCCAAAGAGGAAGGTCCGCTGTACCAGGAACACTGCCCAGCGCAGAAGCTGCTTCCGAGGATTCTCTTCGCAGGCGGTGCCTTAGCTCAAAATCTGCCAATGATACTGGTCCCCGACACGCTCCGTGGACTCATGAAACGGCTTTTATCAGTGCAAGGCGCAGGCAAGTATGCTGCTGTCTGCCCTTGCAAACTGTTCAGCACAGCTGGTGCATCCACCGCCCACGTAGCCCTCAGCACACATAGGCTGTGCAGCTGCACCCTCCGCACGCGGGAGCTGACCTCCTGGACAGGCTTCCTCAGGGCCAGGCTGCACTTGCTGCTTGTTTGTAGGACATGAAGGAATGGAGAAGACAGCTGAAACTACCGCATCTTTCTGGATTCTATAAAGGCTAGGATAAGGGCCCATTCCTTGATTCCCCGCGCATGACCAATAAGTGAATCCACTCATTCTCGCAGATGACATGTGCGCAGAACCGCCGGGGACTCCAAATTTTGGCCTGGTTGGGGCAGTGCAGGGTTCTGCTGATGTCGTGCTCCTCCACCATCAGCCCCGACCTCAGACAAGGCGATCGGCAGCTCAAAGAACTACTGGCGAGGGTTTAGGGTTTAGGGGCTCAACTCACTCACTCAAGCAAGACAGAGGCCAAGCGTGCAGCAAGATGCTCCGCTAGTTTTGGGGGGGGGGTCAGAGTTTTCCGGGGTCACTATGTCCCTTGGACGTCTTCCAAAGGCTAGTGCAAGTGGCGTTACACCACCATAAGTGACCATTGAGTTGCGTGTCATACACGCTTGTCTGACGAAGCTGTGGTACGTGACATTTTCTAGTGAAGCTGCAGCAAAGCCTTTAATAAGGCCATCAAGCAGAAGCTTGATTTGGTGTTTTGTCAAACGTACGGCAGCTTCTGCACGGTTTGGCCATGGAGTGTCAGGGCCAATGCCTACTGGTTTTATTCTGTTTCGTGCGTAGTA